CCTGTGAGGGTGGGGATGCCCTGGCACAGGTTGCCCAGAGAAGCTGTGGCTGCCCCATCCCTGGAAGTGTCCAAGGCCAGGTTGGATGGGGTTTGGAGCAACCTGGGCTTGTGGAAGGTGTCCCTGCCCATGGCAGGGGGTGGGACTGGATGGGCTTTAAGGTCTCTTCCCGCCCAAACCATTCCATGATAATTTCCATGAGGGTTTGACTGTTGGACGCTTTGCTGGACCCTTCAAAGTACCGGATTCCACCCCCCCTCCAGCCCCACTTTCCAGGAGGAACACTCCCATGGAGCATCCCAAAGCCTTCCCAGGCCTGTCTGCAGTTCCCAGGTGACACTTACACCTGAAAGAACTGGACAAGCCCTGGAGGGGACAGTGCAAACAGGGATTGATGCCCAGGTGCCCCTTGAGGGCCAAGGTCAACCAAAGCTCCCGCTCAGACCGTGTGTCTCCAACTCCAGGGCAGCACAGCCTGGAAAAACAGCCCGGGAGCAGCATCAGAGCAGGGATTGGGATGGATTTGGGTGATTCCTGACAGGGGCAGGAGGGCTGTGTTTGGGAAGGGGGGAGGATAAAGAGGTTTAATGACACGAATCCTCTTTCCACGTGAGAATGTGAAGAATTGCTTCTTTTGACAGGCTGGAGCCGCATTTGTCTCCCAGACCTGCTCTGCTAATTTAGCCACAGCCCTGACTGAATCCTCAATTAGGATTTATCTGAGCTAAGAGCTTATTATGCATTTCATCCAAAGGAAAAAAGAAAAAGAGGGAAACCAGCCTGACTCCCTGGTTGTGGTGGGTTGGTTTTTTTTCCCCAAACTTGATGGCTGTGCATTTAAAGTGGCACTTGACTTTGTGCCCGAGAGCTAAAAGCTTTTTTGGTTGGAAAAACTGCTGACAACTGCAAAATCCTGCACTCAAACAGGGTTAGTGCTCATCCATTGCTGCCTCTGGAATTACAGCACGTTCCTGCTGGGATTGGCCTCCACGTGGAGCATGGAGGGGACACTGCAGAGTCACAGCTCTGGGGAAGAAGCCTTGGCAGAAACCAACTCATTTTTCCCATGCCAAGGTGGGTGATGTGTTGTGTGAGGCCACCTGTAAAGCAGGTGCCAAAACCCACCTGCTCCCAAACCCTGGAGCTCAGGAGACCTGGGTTCCCCTGCCAGGGCCTGTGGAGGTGGGAGGTGACAAGTTCACACAGAAGACTCTCTGCTCCCCCCAGGTTTGATTCAGTCACACTCAGCAAACTCTCACACCAATTAATCCCCAATCCAGGGGATCCAGCAAAGCCTTGAAGGCACGTGGGAGACATGGAAGGTGTTGAGATTATTCCCATGATGGGTTTGGAGCACTCCCAACAGGTCACACAGAGAGCCTTGAGGCCACCTAAGAGAAATCCAGCACAGAAAGAGAGCTGAGACTTGATATTGGTTCTTTTCCTTGGAAAATCAGGGTGGAATCACAGAATCATTAAGGTTGATCACAAAGTCCAACCTGTGATGGATCACAAAGGGGTGGAAGGGGGGGCTCACAAAGAGCCCTTCACCCCATGGCCAAGGGTGGCTCACCAGGAGCAGCAAAGCCCCAGGAGATGCTGGTGCCACCCAGAGCAGCTGGAAGGAGGACATGGACTGTGGCCACCGCCCCAAATGAGGGTGATGACAGTTCAACAAGGCCAAGTGCAAGGTCCTGCACCTGGGTCAGGGCAAAATCCAGGCCCAAATCCAGGCTGGGTGGAGCAGGGTGGAGAGCAGCCCTGAGGAGAAGGGCCTGGGGGTGCTGGTGGATGAGAAGCTCAGCATGGAATCATGGAATGGCCTGGGCTGGAAGGGACCTGAAAGATCATCCATTTCCACCCCCTGCCACGGGCACAACCCAACCCTGTGCCCTGGGCTGATCCCCCAGCGTGGGCAGAGGGCAGGGGGGGATTCTGCCCCTCTGCCCCCTCAGCTGAGACCCCCCTGCAGAGCTGCTCCAGCCCTGGGGAACAGCACAGGGAGGACATGGAGCTGCTGGAGAGAGTCCAGAGGAGGCCCCAGAGATGCTCCAGGGCTGGAGCCCCTCTGCTCTGGAGTCAGGCTGGGAGAGCTGGGGGGGTTCACCTGGAGAAGAGAAGGCTCCAGGGAGACCTGAGAGCCTCTTGTAGGGTCTAAAGGGGCTCCAGGAGAGCTGGAGAGGGACTGGGGACAAGGCATGGAGGGATAGGACAAGGGGCAATGGCTTCCCACTGCCAGAGGGCAGGGATAGATGGGATATTGGGAAGGAATTGTTGCCTGTGAGGGTGGGGAGGCCCTGGCACAGGTTGCCCAGGGAAGCTGTGGCTGCCCCATCCCTGGAAGTGTCCAGGGCCAAGTTGGAGCAACCCAGGACTGCAGGGACCTGGGGCAGGAGGTGCCTGGGCAGAGGTGATGCCATGTGGAATGTGGGATATGGGACTGAGATCCCACTGCAGCTCCCGATCCCTGTGCCCACCATCGGCCACTTCTGCAGGCACAGCATCAAAGAGGCACCTGGAAAACCGATCCTGAGTCCTGAACTCCTCCATTCCGATCTGAGGATAAACAAAGGAGCTTTTCCACCCTCACACGTGGGGAGTGATTAAACAGCTCATAAATCAGGGCATTCTCAGCACCTGCCACTGCCAAGCTCTCCAAGACAAACAAACAATTCACGGAATCATTACCCACAGTTTCTCACCTAATTAAGGCTCACAATTATTTAAGGCTCCCTCTGTCTGACAGTGGCAGTGTCAGAGCTGGAGTCACTGAGCAAAACAAGGGGAAATATTGTGGAGAAATCGGAATCTGAGCGGGGTCATGTGCTGTTCAAAAAGCCACAAACTTTTCCTTTTTCGTGATTAGTAGCAACCTCAGGCTTGAGGGGGGAGAAATTAGGATCAAGCTGGTTTTTAGGCTGCAGATGCAGGGATGAGAAGGCAATAATGGCCTTCCACTAGCCCAGGTTGCTCCAACCTGGTCTTGGACACTTCCAGAGATGGGGCAGCCACAGCTTCTCTGGAAAATCCATTCCAGGGCCTCCCCACCATCCCAGGGAAGAATTCCTTCTCAATATCCCACCTAACCCTGCCCTCCTTCCCCTTAAGGCCATTATTACCTTCTCCTCCTGTACCTGCAACTTAAAAACCAGTTTAATCGTAATTTATTCCCCCTCAAGCCTGAGGTTGCAACTAATCATGAAAAAGGAAGTTTGGAGCTTTCTGAACACCACCTGACCCTGCTCAGATTAATTTATCCACATAAATATCGTGTTCCCCAAAAGAGTGGAACAACCCCAAACTGACCTGATCTGAGCCTGTGCCCCTGGGAGTTATTGCAAAGAAAAGCTTCATTATTGCAGATTTATTTGGGTTTAATCCCCCCCCCTCCACTGAGTGGAGCAGCTCCTCTGCCAATTAAGCCAGGGCTGCATCCAGACAGTTTTAATTCCAATGGATCAAACCAGGATTACTGCAGCACAACAGAGATCTCCTGTTAATAACTCAAATATCAAGCCCAGCAGAGCCACCTTCCTGCTGGAAGGGGACACAGGAAAGGCAGAAAACCCGCAGGAGACACAGCATTCCCTGCTCACACCTGCCCTGGGGGGGTTGTTTGGCTGCTTGGCCCCACCTGGGATCTGCCCCATCCCTTGGGAATGTTGTGGCCTCGCTCCAAGCAGCTCCCCAAGGCTGGTGCTCCCCTTGCCCCGTGATGCTGCCTCCGGATCCGGGATCACAAGGACATGTCCCACTCTCCAAATGACTTGCAAGGCAGGAAGGAAACGGGATGTGATGGACTCTCTGTCTCTGCCCTCCCCCCTGTGAGTGCAGCTGGGAGTTAAGTGCTTCCTCTCCCTCCCTAAATATAGACAAAAAGCTCAGCATGGAACATCTTCACCTCCCCTGCAGCCTCTCCAAGCACAGCCAGGACACCCGTGGAGCCTCCACAGCCCTCACAGGGACAACACTGCCAAGGAAAAGGCCAATTCCTACTTTTCCAGGAAGCTTCTGAGGTTGATGGAGAGTGCTGAGCACCTTTGGACAGGACCCTACGTCCCCCAACTCATTTTAGAGCAAGCCACCCCTGACAGCAGCCTTGGCACACCCCCAGCACTGCTGGGCCATGGAGTCATGGAATGGGTTGGGAAGGGATATTAAAGCTCATCTCATCCCACCCCCTGCCATGGGCAGGGACACCTTCCACCAGCCCAG